ACATATCTGTAATGACTTTTTCCTTTCTCAAACCATTTCATATCAATTTTATTTATGTCATCACAAGCAGCATTATGGGAAAGTATGATATTTTTGTTGGATCATTACTATTTATGACTATTAAAAATGGTACAATAGGTAAAGCGTGTGTGAGTGACAATATATCTTTTAGTCCAGTGTATATATCAATGTTCTTTTTAGATATACAACATAAAATTAATGTTTGTTTGATTAAGAAATGCTAATGCTTTATAGGAAAAAAGAAAAAAAAAAAAAAAAAAAAAGATTGTTTATTCCTAGTGGTACAAAGTTGTTATGGCAGAGATGGTTGGAAATTTTACAATCTGGAAAACAGATTTGATTGGCAGTCCAGTAGTGGTCAATTAAAAAAAGAAAAAAAAATCACAATCCTAGATTTTTTTTATATTTATTTTATTTTTGTCAAGGAAAATCCTTTGACAAGAGTAACCAATGGAAAACAAAATCTTTTGTCTCTTGTGGAAAATATAGACTATTATTTTTTAAAATTTAGGTAGGAGAACAACTGCTTTCCTGCTAGTTTTAAAATTTTGTTTTCCTCATAGATCCAAGCAGAGTTTTGAGCAGGAGTTCACCGTAGAACGTTTGGTCTCTTCATGCATATTACAGCAAAGCATCATGAGTTTATTCCAAAAGATATTCCTGGGGACCAAGATTTTCACTCAAAATAAGAACTAAATATTGCTTAAAAACAACAACAGCAACAACAACAAAGGAGGTGGCTGCATCTAAAAGGTGGTTCAGATTCATAAATGTTAACAAACATAATTTTTATTAATGTTTTCTTTTTAAAAATGTCAACTCAACAGAATATTCAATATTTGGGATGTATTAGGAAGTCATCACTGTGTTATTCTGTCTGGTTTTATCTAAACCTGCACTGGAAGTAGGAGGATGTTAGCTTTTTTTCACTCGGAAAGGTCACTGTGGAGATCAATGGGCTGATAAGCAACTGGGAGGTGCCAGGGTGTCCTTGACCCCCTCCTCCTGCTCAGCCCATACAAAAGCTGCACCCAAAAGTCCATACACAGCTTTAGGCACAGCCCATGCCTAAGGCCAACAGTTGTTCACATCCAGCAGTACTTGTTGGGACTGTGGTAGCGCCTGTTTCACAGTAGCATCATACCATTAATAAGACTGAGGCACAAAATGCTGTCTCTGCATTTCCCTTAAATAGATAAATATGTTCAATAATGGGGGAAAACATTAATTAAAGTTTTCACACCAGTCTTTCCAACTGCATGTAAGTCTCATTTCTTCACGGGTTCTGTTTCTGGGTGGAGGCACCTGATTATGGACACACAAGGATCTCTCTGATAACTCTGTTTTCTGTGGTGTTACAGAATCACATCTGCTAAATGGCATAATAGTACAATTTATGATCTCAAAGTGCTTGACAAACATTTTTGAATTACTCTCCATACCACCATAAGACAGCTAGAGTTTAATTTTCCACATTTCACTGACGGGGAAAGAGGAGCGTAAGGGTGTTAAGTGACTTGACCAGAAATCAAATAAGTCCTGGAACTGGAAATGGAGACCCTCATGTAAGAAAGCACTGGAGCAGATGCTTAACTTCAAGTACAGAAACATTCATTTCAAGACAAACACTTTAACAGAAGGGCAAAATACCACACGGTAAAATTCTCCAGTCAGCCCATTGTTCAGCTACTTCAAGAAAGGAATATTAGCCTTAACTAGTCATCTAACAGCTTGCAAATAGCCCCTGATACACCATAGAAAAATATTGCACTCTGTACTGCTTTTTCACTTTCCACAAATAGCTTTGATGAGGATCCGGAGCACTTCTGGATCTGGTGTAGTGGTTTAAGGGAGCAGGTATCTATTTTTTGAAGATTTGGATCAGTGCTTAGCAAGGGCAGAGCCCACTCTTAGGTATGCATACTGAAAGGAGAACAAAAGATCCTACAGAATAAAAAAGAAAAAAAAAATAATCACGTGGTGTGGTTAGGCATCCTGATCGTTATGGATCACTCAGTTCCTGCTCTGCCTGCTGGGGGGGGCTTCTTTGCTGGCAGACAGCGGCATTACTGGCACTCAAGATTCAAGATAAGCATCCTGACCTTATCAAAATACCCTAGTTTCAAAACTGGACTGTAAATCTCTAGAGGAGAGGGGTTCATCAGATTTGTGGTAAATTGTTGTATGGGCTGGTCAGAAATACCTGAGATTAGTTTTTAGGTATTCTCTGCCTTTGGCAAGAGATGATAAAGAATTTAAATAAATGTAACTCAGAGTTGTCAGCATTTAAGGAAGGATTCGTTTCAATCTTGGTTTGGTCAACCTTGTTGACACTTTGTGTAGTGCCAAACTTTTCCTCAATAAATTTAACAGCACCACATTTTTTTCAGTTTAAATTTGTGAGCACGAGCAGCCCTGACTTTGAATCTTGCACCTCTGTTTCACTTCTGAGCACAAGAATAGTGAAGCACACTCCTCTGTGAATCTGTATGGTTTGATTCATTCCTTTCAGCAAAGGTACGGAAAAACAGGTCTTCTGCATTGCTCTAGATGAGCTTTCTGCCAGAGCCCACTCACAATTTGAATTCTCTTGTTGGCTCTGTTTTTGTTTTTCAGGGGACAATCTGTGGTGCATTCATGCAGGGAGGTCCCTACTATCCCTGTCCACTGCTGCTGGTGCATCAGATGATGTCCAGTGAGGGTAGCCGGAGGGCATGAGGATCACATCCAGTTGCATTGCTGCAGTTTCCCTTTAGTTTGTTTCTCTTCTGTGGATATCCTGGGTCTCAATCCTCGGAGCCAGAAATTTGTATAAGTGACAGACAAATCTAGATTGTGTGCTGTACTTGGAAGTAAATATTTCTATGTGATGTTTGCACCTACATGAGCAGAAATCTCAAGACTAGTCAGAGCCATATACAAGGAAGAAAGCCGAAACAACGTGAATAAGTGGAAGGAAAGAAATATGTAGTTTTGGCCATTTTCTTTTTATACTGTTTACTAAATGGTTTGTAACTAATACATTATTAAAAGTTACTAAACACAAATATATTCTACCTTGGATATTTTTTAATTTAATTTAATTTTATTTTATTTTAAAGTTGGGTACACTGAGATGGCTTCCTCAGGCCATCAGTTATTTAGTATCAACATACGTTACTGGGGCCAGTGAAGTAGGATAATTCAGGATAATCTCTTATTACTTGTGATTTGGTGTATGTCATTACAAGGGCAGATTCCATATGGATCTGTACGGGGTGCTGTACTCCGGGAATTTAAAAGCTGCATTGCAAAAATACCTCAGAAAAGAGGATGACTATAACAGTGGTAAGACCACAAGGTGCATAAAGTGACTAACTTGCTCATTCTAAGTCAATAATAAACATTTTAAAATACATAAATAGATGTTTCCTGTTTTCCAAATTTTACCATGGAAAACAACGCTAACTACACACTATTTCAACACATTGTCTGGATTTAATATAAAAGTTTTAAAAATGTGAAACTGAGTAAAGAACATGTTGGACTTCTAACAAAAGTACCACTCATTTGTTAGCTCTTCTGAGGCTTTGGAGTTGATAATATGATTCCACCAAGAGAATATTTTCTTTTTATAAATACAGTTTTTAAGCAATGCTTCTTCTACTTCCTGTGATCTTGATATGTACTGGAAAGCAAGAACAAGTACCAGATACTTATTTTTAGATGATCAAGTAATTTTAGGAGCTAAATGCTATTAATACAGTGCAGCATATATTCTAACAATATATCTGTTGATCTATATGATGAATTTGTAACAACAGTGCACAATATTAGTGCATTGAGGTCTTTGGTGGGAATTCAGGTAGTATTAGCTAAACAGTGCTTTTCTTGTACTTTAGAAAGGTAGAATCGGTAAAGTACTTAACCTCTTTAATCTACATATGTAACAAAAGTGTTTCCCCATAATAAAGGAAGTGTCATCTCATCCTAGCTCATGTGAGATACTCAGAAATTTGAGTGAACTGAACATACAGGAGGAGAACATAGCTTATTCACTCAGTCTACTTAACAACATACTTCCTCTTACTGCTAGCTGAAAAGTGAGTCTAATTTGCTGATGAATACAGTTAGAAGCAAATGATCCATTACATCAACTATAATGAGCTGCAGCAGGTCATTTGGTTATGGATAGCACCACACAAAGGTTACAGTTCAGGGCAATGGTAAATTTCTGACATCCACAAGACATTTGTGCAGTACACACAGCAAAAATGCACCAAGTCTTCATCACAAAAAATGACTAGATTTCATAACACGTTGCTATCTGCTGCAGTTTTAATTCAACAGTTTAAAAGCTTAATAATTCATAATTAACTGTTGTATAACTGACAGCCACAAATAAAGGGCATTAACTTGGTGGTCTTGTAGTATAGAGGTGTGAGAGCAGATTTGTCAAACACTTCCCAAGCACTAACAAGAAATAATTAATGATATAGTAATAAAGCCCAGGTTAGTCATGTGCCATACAATGTCATCTGTACTCTCAAAAGGATTTAGGTTCATGGAAGGAATCTTAATTTCAGAATATTAATAGTGATAAACTCTAAAACTCTAAATAGCTGAGTGAATGACTTAAACTACTGTACTGTAAAGTGATGTCATTGTTTATACTAATTTCTGTGACTGAAGTCTTGAAGATTTAGAACTGTGTTACTGGGATAAGTCAACTTCATATTCACATCTAGATATTTTATTCCACAAATATAATGATAGAGATTCAACAGCATTTACAGCTGTCATCACCAGAAAACTCTTGCTGGTCCAGTCTGAGCTCTGTAAAAAGTTATCATCCAAACGTGCTGCAGCTGAGCCAGCTGAGCACAGGAGCTTTCTGCCAGGGGTTCAAGGACCACTGAAGACGCCTGGTGTTGGTTCACAAGCTGGAACATATCTGAACCTGGTTCTAGCTAGCCTAGGTGAGTGCTCACTTTGGGTAGGACAAACTCAGGCAATTCATTCTGCTGATTACCTCCAGCAGAAAGGAGAAAGTAGGCAACTGGCATCTGTTATGCTAACACAGCTGTTTCCACAGGTTGAGCTGAAAACTTACACTAGTTGGGGGATTTCTCATTCAGGTAACTATGTCATATTAAATGTACTAATCTCTAGAATGATTGCAGATATTTATACGTTTTGGGGAATACTTATTCATGCAATGTTCTTTTTTTTTTCTTCAATTATCTATAGTTGTCTTTATTTTGAAAAGGTTCAATTTAATAGATGATTAACTATTTTTTAGACCGTGATGAACTGCTTAATTTGACTGCTTGTTACTCTTATTTTTGATTTGTGTTTGATCACCTAGGTCATGCACCTTGAGTGGACAACAAACACTTCAGAAAGGGGAATAATGGTGGAGAAGCACAAATAACCAATGGTGAATAAGGAACACCCTTGTTCACACACAAATGCCCTTGTTTGCACATGAATATGGGTTTTTGTATGAAAAAGACCCATTCTCCAAACATCCATGTGAAGAGAAACCCATTCAGCATGAATGTTTGTGAACACTGAATAACAAGTGGATGAACAAGCCTGAATCAAACAGCCGTTCAGACTTTGAACCAATGTTCGCAAACACTGGTTTGCATTATTCACCCAGTCCTGTGAACAGCCATCTGTTCAATAACTGATAATGGACATGGAAGTTGGGTTGTTGGGTAGATATGGCTCATCAGGGAGACAATAGCTATCTATTTGCAGGATTTCTACTTAGTCCGTTGCAGGCGTAGCCTCTGTTCCTGTTGACCTGTGATATCGTGTTTTTCTTGTACTGTCAACATTAGGTTTTGCTTAATATATAATTTGAAATAAAGTTGTGTATACACATATACAGACACGAACACACCTACACACGTATATATTTACAGTTGCTGTTTTTTATGTAGTATCTAAAACATAAGTTAATGAGGTATATGAATATTTTTTTTTCTAACTTAAGTGCTTAGCACATGTTTAAGACCTAGAGTTGCAAAGATAAATACCTGTGTGGTTGAAAATCTGCTTTAGGTGTCTTCCAGATTTAAAACCAAATGGATTAACATTTTGCAGAACTACACCCATCTGTGTATGTTAGAAAATAACCTTCACTTTTCTCAGGATTGTATAACTTTAATAACAAAATCAGTATTTTTCATATATCAGGACAGACCTTGAGAGAAAAATTTTTACATCCTGTTTCTCAACAAAATCCTCCCCACTATCAGACACCATTCCTCTTCAAAAGATGATAACTATGTTTCATTTAAAAAAAAATGATTTTATATGAAAATAATTAAAAACGGTAACGTGACTCTATCTTCTGGTGCGGTATATTTACTCCAGGTATTTCAATGAGTAATGAGCCTGTTTAAATCTATAGGGAAGTTATAACTGCTTTTGTTCTTCCTATGACAGGTTGGTAGCTATATTTCTATGCAACTGATTTAGTATAATTTGTCTTAAAGTCTGAAATCTTTCCAAGTGCTTCTATTGCTTTTCTAACCCCTAAATGAAATATTTCTTTGGGGTTAGAAAGCATCAAAATAATGTCTGTGTAAAGTGCCAATTTATATTTTTGATTTCTGATCTCCACTTCCTGCAGTAACTGTATCCTTTATCATTCTTGGGAGCAGTTAGTTCCACTGTCAGGGCAAGTACCAAAAGTAAAGAAAATCTCACATCTCTATTCATCAAATACATTTCCAATGAGTACAAAGTATTCTTTTACTATGTTTTATCACTTGTTTAAAATGTTAAATAATATTCCTTCTTTTTGCTTTACCCCCTCCCAGCCTCCTAGTTTTCTTAACCTGAAAAAAAAAAAAAAACAGCCCAAAAAAACAAAAAACCCTAACTTCAATTCTTAAAATATTTGCAATAATTATAAAAACAAGGATATAAAGAATTAAGATTATAGCTACACTTGGTTCCCAAACTGTACTTCTGTACTTCTTTGATTCTTCACTTTGTCAACATAGCTAGGGGTTTACTCTAACTCACATATGAATCAATATTTGCTCATTTCAAAGAACTGGGGAATCGGATCTCAATGCAGAAACTTTGTTCTAACCTTCCAATGCTATTTGCAAAACAGTTGCTCCATTTCTCATCTGTGAGTTACAACCTGAGCATATATGCATTATCACACCTCAGATAGAAAATGGAGAAACAACTGATTACAAGTTTAAATAAAAAACATAGATTTAATTTCTACTGAATTACAAAAATTCATATCTACCATGCATATAAAATGCATATACACATTTTCAGTTTCCTATGAAAATGGAGGGACTGAAGTGGAGATTACAGTTGCAGTGCGGCATTCTTTTAATGCCATTGACTAAAACAAATACAAAGAACTAAGAAACAGCATGTTAGAGTGATCATTCCAAATTGTGATACTTTGCAATAGACCTGAGTGCAGCCATGGCTTATTGCTACCTTGCCTTTTAGAATTTACCTCGTAAAGAAGGAAGAGAGAAGAGTAACTAAAGCAGTTAATCAGTTGATGGGAAGAGGAAATAGCTTATTTAGAAAAAGCAAACAGGATGCAAAGGTTTGGCAATGGAGCCATTGGCCAGCTGATGGATGACAAAGAAAGACTGAATCAGTTTTTATCAGTGTTTTAAGAAACATTTAACATTTGATGACAAGCAGACTCCTTGGTGCTCAGCTGTTGAAAAGGGAGTGGCTGATCAGGCTTTTGATCTTCCAATAAAACCTGGTAACTGTCAAAGAATAAAAGCTCGTAAAATATGTTTTTTACTAAATCATTTCTGTTAAATAGTATTTTCAGCTGTTCCCTCCTCAACTTTCCAAGGCTGAAAGCTTTGTGAAGAATGTGGTGTAGCTGCCACCTGTTTTCTTCAGGATGGCCTTCAACATGGTGAAAGCCACCGAGGTGCATACCTTTGTGTCCAAGGCAATTATGAGGGATGAGTGCTACCATCATATCCTGTGTGCCATTGCAGCTTGGTTGTGAGTATGGTTGCAGTGGCTCTTTCAGAGGAGCAGAGAGCTACAAACAAAAGTCTGGCAGTGTGTGGTTTGGTTTATTCAAAAACAGGCATTTCCAGGGAAAGTCCCTTCCTGAAGAAAACATGGACCATTTCCTTTAAAAAGCTGTTTATTGAGTTTGTGGTTTGTTTACTGCATGCCAATATTTGTGCAGTCATGAAGTCAGACAATTGTGGACAAGTCACTGTTATCCAAAGATTATAAAGAAAAGCTTTGAAAAGCCAAACTTTCAACTCCTTTTTATGCAGTAAGGGAAGCACCATATTTCTTCTTGTCTCCCTTATTCCCAGAACATCCTCCCCAGCAAGACACACTCCTCTTCAAGAAGTGACCGAGCACCATCACTTCTGGAGGGCCTGCATCCTGCAGAAGATTTAAAATGTTCTTCCTGCAATAAACTCACCTTAGCTCCAGCATTACTTAATTATTTCACCAACTTTTCGTCAACTGTCTGCTTTATATTTTTGTTTCTCTCTGAAATACTTCTCTGGCCTCTTCCAGACCTGGCACTGGGCTAATAATATTGCCTCTGATTATGGCCTTGGCTGCCCTCCAGCTCATACCTCTGAGTGCATTATAAGGCTGTCTGAACCCTGCAGAGCTCAGATCATGAAGGGGCTTGTTGAGCTGAACTGCGCAGCTGAGGGGCTGGTAGTAAAACTGCAAGTGCAAACTGCCCTCGGTGGCATCTTCCACCCCTGTGGGCACTCATCACCTTGCCAGCACCTCTCTCAGCATCTTCTTTTTCTCCAGCACCTTTGTGAGATTCAGTGGCATGGAGGGAAAGAAAAGGACAACTGTCATGAGATGTTTTATATCCCATTTGCCGGGAGTAAACTACAGGTTTTTCTTTACCAAGGTGAGGAAATGAGAAATCAGCACTCCCCACCACCGACCCCCTTTGATGCAAGTGGTTCCTATCACTTAAGCAGTATGCTATCATTGAATTTTCCAAACAAAACAAAACAAAACAAAAAACAGTTCTAACTGAAGTCCTAAACTTAAGCTAAGTGGATACAAACTTTTACAGCTAGTAAGTTCCAGTACCCATCTTCTTAACTGCTTAATGTTAATTTATGAAGACCACAAGAAGTTGCTAGTATATCTCATTACTTGAGCTACTGTAAGCAATATCGTAATACTTGCTAATTCCTCCCAGTAAAGCTCCCTATTTAGATAAAATTTAGTGAACTGTTAAAAATCTATTCATACAACGCGTGAGTTCTCGTGTTAGGAGTTGTCATAGCTTCTTGCACAAAGACCGTGTTATTCAGAAACTGTTTGCTATCTATGTCTTTTGTTTAGACTTTAAAAGAAACAGATTTAATCGGCACCTAAAATGTAAAATAAATTATCAATCACTTTGCTTTTCCTTTTACTTGCACATTGATCAAGCTCAAATACATTAGAACAAATGTCAGTTTTTCATTGATCTTAATGGCTACTGAAAGAGGTCTTAAATGCTTATATCCAGAGAATGGATAAAGAAAAGCAAAGCTGATTTGTCTGTGAAATCATGATATTAGGCAGCAAGTTTTCCTGCAGTTTGATTTATCTATTTCTACAGTAATATATATATTACTGTATATATGTGATGTTTCTTGCTACAGGATGACTAAAACCAAACCATCCAAAAAAAAAAAAAACCACAAACCAAAACAAAGAGATTCAAAATGGGAGTGTCAAAACAGATATTTCATGGTTGGTCTTTAAATATAATCGTTCTTTGCCTTTTTATAACAAATAAGATATTGACAACAAAGCTTTATATGTGTGGTTACAATCTACTTTGTTTATCTGCTAAGTCAGACGCAAATCTCAAGTGGTCTTATTTATCAGAAATTTGTTTAATAGAAAGAATACCTTTGTTAGATATTGGAAGTGCATTTAATCAAAATGTGATCCTGAGATCCTGACAAAAAGCTCTCATCTTTAGTAAACAAAACAGAGATTCATTCATTCATACTTGTGTGTACTACATTTATATTTTCATGTATATATTGGTGTATATATATATATGCATACATTATATATAGTATATTAAATATGCATACATACAGCTATTTAATTTCACTGAACATAAACAATAAAAACAGTTCTCTGAATGATTTCCCCATTTTCCTAAACAAAGAGCACTTTCTTATACTCCGAAATTCCTCAATAACATTTAGTAAAGTTTTGATGATATACAACTCCTGTACTGTCCATGCAATATTTATTGCAAACATCAGGCAGAATATCTTTGGGTGAACAACGAGCTGAAAACATGCTCATTTTATATTTACATGTGGCATGTTGGTCTGATAAATATGGTCAAAATCACAAGGGATGATCCGGAGCTGCTGCCAGCTCCCAGTAGGAGAGGTCTACATATACAATCCCAGGTGCAGAGGAAAGGATTTTGTCTATGAAATCCCAGAAGCCCAAACTCTAGGAGAAAAACACTGTCCGTAAAGACATATAAATGTTTTTGTACCTGACAGGTGCTCCTAGCTGGTTCTCCCCAACTTGTCTTCTCCTTCTCAAACCTCCAGAGGATGAATGAGCACTACTCCTGGCTTCTTAGCGGTGTCATTTGTCAAAAATACAGTTTTTTCTTGGCCATTCCCTTGTTTATTTTCCTCAGCTGATCATAGGACACCTGTGAATGTTGCTAATACATTAGCAGTAGGATCATTTGTTTGAAAACTCTGTTTCAAAGCTGCTCGGTGAGAGCTGAGGGAAAAGGTCCTTCTACATTTTGCCCTTTTTTTTTTTTCTTCTTTTTTTTTCTTTTTTTTTTTTTTTCCTTCTTCTGGATGGGGAAGTCTTAAACCTTCACCCCTAAGAAGAGAAGTAAAAGAAGTAAACAGCTTCTCTTTTGCTTAGCTTGTCCCCTCCCAATGCCTTTTCACTGCTCCAGGAGTGTTTTCATTTGACTAGCCAAGGATAAGGCTGCTCATAGAGCTGAAGACATGGTGGTGGAGTAGCCGAAGTTCAGGATCAGGCTTCTGCCCTTCTAGAAAAAAATATCCTTAGTTATGTTCAGTATTAATTGTACATGTTCAGATCCTAAATCATCTTCATTTTTAAGCTACCAATGAGGAAACAGTTTTATGTCAATGTTAATATAAATTATAATATAGCTTTTACTTATTCTCTCTTTTTATGACCTTTTGAAGAGAATCCGATTGTGGCTTTACTTTGGCTTTAATAAAGTTACTTAAATGCATAACTGCAGTAGAATGACACAGTGAAATGAATATATCCTTCAGGGAGCTTGGCCTCTGCTACTGTTACAGATTTTTTATTATTTTTATATTTATTTTTTTAACTTTTCCTGATTTGGTCAGAGTGAGGAACACCATCAGTTCAAAGTTAGTTTAGTAAAAACGATTTGGTCCAGTTAGACAAATGTGTTATATGAAACATAGATAAATAAATACAGGCAGTGTAATAAAATCCAGAATTGACGGACTGTAGTGAAAACCCTTGATAGATCCTGACTAAGTGTGTCACACTGCCCACCTGTGCTCTTACAATACCATGTGGTGTAGGTGTGACTCCTGCAGTTTGTCTCAGCAGGAGGCACAGAATGATGAGCATGAAGGAAAATCAGAAAACTTTCTTTGGTACCGATGTTTGGATTTGAAGAACTTGGACTGGAATAACAAATGTTTTCCTGCAAATTCAGCTGCTGCTTATAGATCTTGACCACTGTGATTTCTCAGTCAATGTGCTGATTTTGACAAGATACAATGGATAGGGAAGAGTGTAGAATAACT